AAAAAATTTAAACATTTGAGTTTCAGCTTTACAGTCATTGACCATAAAGCACACTAAAAAATGTAAGTTATTTTTAAATATCATCTGAAATAAAGAGATACTTTTAAAAAAGGAAGAAGCTGAAGATGTATAGTTAGACTAGCATACAGTTTTGGTTTGAATTAGCCCTATCCTGATATTTAGCTTTTAGGTATTTTGTAGACATTTTCACCTACTTTGCAATGGAGACCAGAAACATTCGCAGGTCTAGTCCTGCAGAGCAAGTGAGAAACTTACTCCTGGATCAGCCTCTCTGAGTAAAAGTGTTTCTTTGAGATGAGCCACAGAAGGAGCATGTTTTACTCAACTTTTCCACTGTAAGGTAATAGCAATCTACTCTTTATTTTTAAACTTTGTTTTCCATATTGTTTTCAGTCTTTTGTTTATAATTAGAAATTGTGAGAAGCTCCATTTAATGTTTAAAAATGTCAAGAAATAAATCAGACTTAACTTGTATGTATGAACAATTCTCTAATAGGAAACGTACGGTCCAAAATAGCAAAAGTAGAACCAGGTAAAACATGTAGTCATTTTTTTAAAACATGTACTTGGTCTTTTGTCTGTGTCTTATTTCACTAGAGTAAATGTGTCCTTGATGTAAATGCTAAGCATTTTTTTCTGATTAAATTGTGTAGATGTAGACTTTACCATATAATTCGATAATAAAAATGATTAACCTCTAGTTTTGTCATTGCAATAAATGATTTTCAGATAGTACAAACTGTAAGATTTCTAAATAACATTTTTTAAGTGGTATTTATGGATTATTGAGTTTTAGTTCCTATTTCAGTCTATTCCTATAAATTTTACTTCTAATCATTGTAGTAATCAGGTCCTCATGTGTTCATAGGTAAGCAATGTATAGCCATTGTACTCACAGAATGACATTAGGAAGCTCTCAGAGTCACCTCTCTCACTTTGCAATATAGTAACTACTTCTTTTCAGTCTCCACCCCCTGCCCCTGTTTTAATGTCTTTAGTCCTTATCTGTGACACTCCTGATTATTAGTCTTGCTTTGAGACTAAGCCAGGGTGTCACTGTGATGTGCATACAGTGGTACCCCCTTATTCGCTGTTTTGCTTCCAGAGGTTTCAGTTACCTGCAGTCTGAAAATATTAAATTGGAAACTCCAGAAATAAGCAATTCATAAGTTTTAAGTTATGTGCCATTCTGAATAGTGTGATGGAATCTCAAGCCATCCCACCCAGAACATGAGTCATCCATTCCTTTGTCCAACATATGTGCACTGTATATGCTATACTTCAAAATAAAGGTATTTTCAGACAAATACAAGCTGAGAAAAGTTATTGCTAGCATACTGCAGTGCAAAAAATATTAAATGAAGTTCTTCGATAGATTGAAGGAAAATGATACCAGATGGAAACTTGGATCTATACAAAGGAATGAAGAGTGCTAAAAATGGTAAATTTTTGGATATAGACTTTTTTCTTTCATTTTTATTTCTTTAAAACATAACCGACTAATGCAAAAATAGTATTCCAAACATGTGAA